CAAATGTGAATTAAGTTTAAACGCCTAATGATTTTCTTTTTTCTTTTAGACTTGGCGGACATTTGGGCGATATTATTTTTCACACATAATTGACATGACTTGAATAACATTATCCAATAGAGAAATAAATAAATTTTCACCAATTACACTGATTTATTTAATGCTTACTTTAATGCTGACTTTGATCCGTTTTAATGAAACACCCTTTATTATGAAAACATTGACTTGCACAATACATTCTGACACAAATACAAATACTGTATACAAATAGAATAGAGATAAATTTGATTTGTAACTCAAACAGTTACCCGTTTCGAATAGAGAGATTTCTTGTAAGTACGTCATTCAAGAAATTCCTTGGCCGCATATGTGACATTGTAAATGAAAACTAGAATTAGTACCGGAAGTCATCATATCGGAGAAACATTGCAAATCATTCCCATGCACATTTGTGTTTTTTTTAAAACACACAAAATGCAACTTTACTGAGCGGATCTTAGTTACAAAACTGTCTTTCCATACTGGTTGTGACCATAACAATATAGTCCAGTCTGTCTTGCTATTTATCACTTGGCTGGTGGTGAAAGTGATGAATTCATACATTAAAGTAAATGTAACCTTTTGAGTGAAAATGAATGCAATGATCTCGACCGGAATTCTAAATCAGTTCGTATGTTTCTCCTTTCGAGATTTCAACTATTACACCACTTGCACAACCAAGGACTGAAATTAATATCCTTTTTTTCCCAGAATATTAACGGCACAATTAAAGCAGATAGTAAAAAGTCTTTAATTTCACCTGCCCTGCTGTGTGTTCAGAAAGCCAACGTCAGATGATTACTGCCTATTGCAAACTAATTATAATGTTAGTATTGAAAGCCAAACGACTTAGCATACCAAAGAGTATCAAGAATTAAATGCAAAAAGACAGTTTAGTGGGAAATTATCTGATAAGAAGAGTAAGCAGAAGTTGATGAAATATTTTAAGTTGTCTTTGGAAAATCATGAATTCTACTTCAAATACGATCATAACCCTCCACTTCTTCCTGTCACTTTTAGCACTTAATAAATTTTGTCTTTTTATTATTTCTGTCAAACTCTGTAATTTCGTCCTATTATGAATTCTTACAATTCTTACAGTGCCACACGCACTCACACACATATAAGATACTAGCAGCATGACCCGGCGTTGCCCGTGCTTGATTCAAAAATCGTACGACTCATACAGCAATCGCTATCACTTGACCTAAAATATTTTTGCCCTTTCTTGCCTTTAAAGGAGTGCCCTTTGACGTGCTGATGTTGCTACATGCCTTACTTCTTGCCTATCTCACACTGCGAATTTGTTCTAAGCTCTATACTAAACATTAAATCTGTTACGAAAAAAGAACTAAACAAAATGAACACAAAACGATCAGCTTTAAAAAAGGACTCATAACTGGAAAAACCGAATGAAAAAGGAATGTTAACAACAAATACTTTTTCACATCCAACCCAGTTCTGCGGAATCAGAATCAACGTTGAGTTTAAGCAAGCGAATGAGCCAATTGGAGTAAAGTGCCATGCAGATTTAAAATTTTCCCACTTGTGACGAATGCAGCTAGCATGCTAGTTAACATTCGTGTCAGTCAGCTGTTGGCTCTCACGCTGGCCAGTAGAATCTTCTTGCCTATTCGTGGCAGCCATCTATTGGCTCTCACTCTGATCAGTAAAAATGGCCGCAAACTACATGAAAACTGCCGTAGAAGCATGAAATAATCGATTATTTCCATTATCGATGGGAGTTGGGAAATGCAAGGTTGGTCTTCGCCTTCCCGCTAACTTGGAGCATGCATGTAAATTTTGGTGCAAATCCGTCGAAAATTGCGGCCGTGCATTCGTTACACACACACACACACACACACACACACACACACACACACACACACACACACACACACACACACACACACATACATACTGCTTTTTATAGATAGAGATAGTGTTATTTTGGTGGAAAACGACATCGCTCAGTTAAACTGCATGAACGGTTTGTCTCGTTTCATTTCTACGAGGAATGGTGCTCAGTATTTCTGTTTTCTGAGCCAAAACAGGAACGGAAGTATTGGTAGACATCCCCCTCAAGAGATTTATAGAGAGAAAGGAAAATAGGAAAAGAGAGATAAAACAAAGAAAGAGTAAAGATAAGTTCGCACGTGAAGGAAAATAGAAAAAAATAGTTTGGAAGTGGGTGGCTATAAGTACATCGAATCATCAACAGAGAAAATGTTTCTGTAATTGCCAAAGAAAATATTATTTCTAGTGTATTTATCGCCCCTCACTATGTTTAAGTAATTATAAATTGCATACACCCATGTTTCACAATCATATATATATATATATATATATATATATATATATATATATATATATATATAAAAGACATTTTAATCAATTATGTATTATTTGCAAATATACTTACATTGTAAACGTATCCAAATATGTTTAAAGAACTGTTTTAAGCGCGCATGCAGTCACACACACATAATTTATGCACGCGTGCACGTGTGTGTGTGTGCTTAAACCAGTTCTTTGATAAATCTGTAATATAATTCTGAAAAAGTATTTATTTTGCACAAGAAATATTTATTTCTCAAGATAATCAAATATTTAAGAACAGCTAATCATTCCAAATATTGAACGTTATGCAGTGAAGAATTCATAGAGCGACACACACACACACACACACACACACACACACACACACACACACACACACACACACACACACACACTTTGGACATAGTAACTCTCAGTTTCGGGCCTTAAGTAACCAACATAACATGGTCTATAAATTGTTTATCTCTAAAACCCATCAATATTACAACATAAATGTTTGTTAATTTTTTTTAATATTATTATTATTGATCGTTTTATTGTTGGTTGTTTTCTTGTGTTTATCTGTGCGTTAGTGGTTTGTTAATGTGTTTATTATTTACTTAGTTTATTAACTAATTTATTTGTTTGGATTAATTTTTTTTTGTTTATTCATTTTATCTTTGGTGTGATTCACATAAAAACATCATGGAAAATAAGGGAAACCGCATCAGCCCACAACAATAAATCTAAAAATTGTAAACTCTGTCTGGCAGTGAAAAAAACAAAAACAAAACAAACTATAATTACCTTCAAAGACCAACAGAAATTAATAAATAAACGATGAGAACTTATCTCAAAATGCAGACACAAAACAATTTTTTACTACGTTACTTAAAAATCGAAAACTGAAACGGAACAAGAATAAACGAAAATAAATAAACAAACGTTTCCGCTCATTAAAATAATCGTTAGAATAATACAATAGACTACCCACAATGCATCACTGATAGGTATATATAATTAGTCGAGCAAAAAAACAACACACAGGGCCTAACGATTGTGTTTAGCATGAAACAGACTGTTGCCGCTGGGTGTTGACTTCAATATCCACTTTTATATTTACAGACGCTTTATCGCTGATATTGAGTACCTTAACCCATAAATATAGCATACCTTAAAACTATGTTTTATTGTATATCTATATAAGAAATGCAAATGCGAGTGTGTCACACTTTTTCAACATTACCGTAGGCCAACATATGATACCATTTTGGAATCAGGCTGACATCGTTGTGCAAATTGAAAACATACCTGACCGGATCCAAACCCGCAATAATAGAACTTTGAATTTCCAAGTTTTCATTACAACGATTGTTTTCAGCAGTTTTTACGTGATTTTTGCGATGATTTTTTTTTTTACGATAACAATTTATATAATTTGGAAATAAATTAAGGAGTAATAGAAATTAATTGCGAAATCCTGCGAAAGTTACCCATGAAATGAAAATAATTGTTTTTGCGCAAATTACATCAAACTGATCAAATGCAGCGATCAATTTTGAGTTCTATAATTTATTGTTGCCTGTCGCATCTACTCCTCCCTATTGTGATGAGGGCCCAATCAAGTGCCTGCGCAGGACCTAGCTTGAATGTCGTCTGATAAGTCATATATATATATATATATATATATATATATATATATATATATATATATATATATATATATATGGAATATACAAATATCCGACAATTATTTTATAAGACATTTTTTTATGTTTTATACATTTCTTTTATAGATATCATTTATTATAAACAGAGCATTTACTTAAATATTTGGATCTATAAAAGAATATATAAACATATATATATATATATATATATATATATATATATATATACGTAAATGTGTGTATGTGTGTATATATATATATATATATATATATATATATATATATATATATATATATATATATATATATATATGTATAAATTTTGATGAGTTTTCCAAAATTTTAAGAATATTTGCTATAACGACATAATCTCTAGTGATCGGCTGTCAAAAGAAAAATTCTCTACATGTGATGATATTAAGTGTAAAGTCTTTTAAAACGTGAAGATTTTGAATTAAGACAATGTGCTAAAAGTAGCACACCAATAGATTTTGGTTCCATGAAAAAGATATTGAAAATAGAACTGAGAGAAAGCAATAGGAAATAAGTTCATATACGACAAGGCATCACATCATTCAAGACTTAAATATTTTATTACAGTAGCATTTTCATTTCTATTCCATTTCATTTTCTAAACTTGCTAGTTTGTACTAAAATAGCAAGAAAACTAAAGACACTAGTCAGAAAACTATCTAAAATAAAATCAGCAAGTAGGTCAATAAAAAAACAAAACAAACATTAGACCAAAATTGATGATGATGAGATTTTGATAATGTTGATTTGAGAGCACATGATCGTTACGTGCTCACGTGCGCCACGCACACGCTTTACGGCTCTTTATTCACCCACCGCACCCACGAGATGGCGTTCGAGATAGGTTAATATCCAGAATATCTGTATGTCAACAAGGGTTCTGCCTATCAGAAACTCTTACCGTCCCGGTTCGTCCATCGGTCGGTCTGTCTGTCACTCTTAGTCAGTTTTCTCCTCAGACGGATGAGTAGATCTGCCCACATATTCTTGTTGGATGATCGACTTCGACAAAAAGAGAAAGAAAGGGAAAAGGACAGCAAGATAAAGAGAAATAAAATATGAGTGACAGGGAGGTAGGGAGAGGTACACTACGAAGAAGAGAAAAGAGAAATTAATAGAGATGAAGAGACTGATAGATAAAGGGAAAGAAACGTTACAATTTTGTGTTCATTAATGTACGTAGATGCTTGCTATCAGGGAATAATCGCTAGTAAGTTTTCCCTCTTCACACCTGACTCAGTAATTCATATTTTGGGCTTACACTAATTTTTCTTTCTCTGAAACTCAAGTTTTATCATTACAGTAAAGTTTTTATTTAGTCTTAAATGTCTCGTATCAGGAAACTTATAGGTTAATGCCTGTTGGGCCACTCGGTGTGTATCACTGTTTTTACGCATAATTCATTTCTCACACATAGATTGTTGTAGAATGAAGATTTTCTAACTTATTTTTGAGAATAAAACGAATTTGCTACGGTACAAAATAAGAATTTCGAAACTATGCAATAAATCACATACAATTGTAATATTATGTTAGTGGCGTCTGATAAGAATACGGGACTATTTTTATAAGTAAAATAATTGTTTATTTTTATTTTTTTTTTTATTTCTGGACTCTGTCGAAATAACATCGACCGAATCGAGGGTATGTAGTTTCAAGGTTTTTTTTGAACGTTTGATCTTTTAGATCTCTTAGTAAAGAAATACTTTTTCTCTCGTAGGTCGAGCGTTTTTATAACTTCGTAACACGGTATTTAGTGGGGAAATATCTAAAGTTCAGTTGGATTCACTTCGTTATTTATGTTGACACACCCAGGAAGTTCCTTTGCGGCCCGATTCTGTACTTCTAGGTCAACCTCCGTATTTTTTTTCACTTGAGAAGATATCGAGTACAAAACATATTTTAGTGTCTCTTAGGGTGAGATTAGTATATATTGGGGCCACCACAGATCTCCTCTTAGGCCAAAGGTTCCTGATGGTCATTAAATTCTATTCAGGCTTCTGGCATTTCCTGTTATAAATCAAATTTTACAGATTCTTTCTTTATTTTTTAAATTCTCGGTTCATAGATCGAATTGTTGAGCTTTACAAATTAGATTTTGTTTTACTTGTCTACAACTAATACCAACAATTTCAGGAATTAGTTGAATAAATTCTACACAGTACAGTTTGTATATTGTCGAGATTTTAATGCAGCTTATTCTACAAATAATCACGCATTCATTTTCATTCGAAGAACACATTCATATTATTCATTGAAGGTTTGCAATTCATGAAAACTATAAAAAATATCGAAACGTGATATAAGATAAGATACTGATATCATTTGTTTTTTTTTGTTTTTTTTTGTGAAATATTTTCAAACTCCAGTTTCTGATGAGGTACGGCTCATTTTTTCTAAGTTTCAAAATCTGCTTTTTGAATGAGCATGTGTATCGAATTCTGGGTGGCTGACAGAAAATTATTTAAGAATTCAGGTAGAATGCCTGATTCTTCTAACTATCGGCCTCTTAAACTTCTATCTATTTTTGGCAAAGTACCAGATGCTCTAATCAATTCTGAATTTGGTTAAGCATCTCACGTCGTAGAGTCTTTCTTCAAGCAAGCAATATGGTATTAGCTTCTCTAGGTCAACTGCTGATGTGCTAATGGTTATTGCTGAAAGGGTCTGGATTTGTCAGGATTTGTCATGCTGGTCTTCTTCTTCTTAATTCCTGTTCTTTTATTGTTCTCTCTGTTTAATAAAGTTTTTCTTTTTATTATATTCTTTCACACTCTGTAACCCCCTGTGTCTTAATACCTTCATTGCTTGCTTTGGGTGAAATTATTTTTTAAATATTACAAGAATCAGATTAGACCAAAAATTGAGTATTGACACCATATCTACGCAAGGATAACTCAATGCTCACTTTCCAGCTTTGGCAAATTTTAAAATAATTTACGTGAGAATAGAGAGATGGCAATCTCCGCTCTGAAGCCTCTTTTCTTATAGACGCAATGTCGTAAGCCTGTTGTAACACTATCGCTATTTCCATGGCAGATGTCCAGATGAGCTCCATTCTTTTGTTCCATTGATCAACCTCATTCCCTCCTTGTTCCAGTTATAAGGAGGAAGTTTCACTCATGTTTTCCCCATGAACTGCTATTTTGTGGAACTGAATCTCGCGTGGTTACTTCCCTGAACACCTCAATGTTAACCGCTGAGAATCAACGCTTAATTGTTATCTACCCTTTTTAGCCTCATAATCTTCTCTTTCGACCACCTTTTACATTTATATCACACACCTCATTCAGTAACCATCTACTTCAAGGGGCTCTTGAGCACTGTATTGGGTGAACTTTAGTATTTGAAAAAAGAAAAGAAAAACTCAGTGCCAAATCAGTGAAGTCCAATACTAAGTCAAAACGCATTTTTTCGATGGAACAGCTGGAAAATACACAAATATAATTTAGAAAGTTTCAAACATTAAACCTCGGAGGAATAATGCAGGATAATCTTTCGCATGTAAGCTAATGTCATTAATAGCAACTTTTCGTTTTTCTGTTTTATTTTTATTTCCTTTGTTTCGTTTGGTTTTCAAATTGGTTATTCAACTTTCTGTGTGTCTCTGAAATTGTAACCAATGTTTACAGCAATTAGCACTGAAAGACATGTGCTTAACATTAATATACAATAGGGGTTTCATTTCTGTGTTTTATTTTATATCTATTTTTAAAAGAAAAACAAAGTGTCATACATGTAAATGCGTGTACAGTGATTCGAAATAGATTTTGATATTTTGATATGACTTCTTCCTTTTTACTGATAAACAGCAATTGATAAAATATAATGAATGAAATAGAGAAGAAAAATAATAGATAAACTGACGATGAATCAAGTAGAAAAAGAATGATAAAATAAAGGATGACAAAAAAGAAGAGGAAAGATATTGTAAATTTAAGAAGTAGAAATTAAAGATGAATAAAAAAAAGGAAAGCCTGTAGAAGCGAATTTCATAATAGTAAAAATAATATAGAATAAGTAAATGTGAAGCGAAGAAAAGAATTAAAAATATACTAATTTATAATTTATTTATACGTTTTTAATTATTAGAATTAAAAACGTGAAGACACTTTAAAGTCGAAATATTTTAAGAGATACAAGAGAAATAAGTAATCATGGCGAGAAGTACAAAGAAAAAGATGATATATATATATCTAGATATGGACGAAAGAATAAGAACCATCTATCCCGGTAAATTAAATAAAGAGTTCAGTTCGAATTTCCGGATCGACATAACAAGGCTGGAGAGAATGACAGTCGAAACATTGTGGTAATAACAAAAAAGATGAGGACATTTACATATATGTAAATAATGACAACTTCTTATTCAGAAATTCAGACAGAAATTACATTGTTGAAATTGAAAGGAAATAAATGTATAAAAATGAAAAATTGGAATTAGTAAGCAAGTAAGAAAGATTTTATGTAGAAAGAAGATAAAGGAAAAACAAGAAGAACAGAAGAAGAATAAAAAAAGGAAAGATAAAAGGGAAAATAGTAGATAAAGCTGATAGTTTACAAAAAGTGCTAAGAAGAGAGAAAAGTTGAATAAGTAGAGACAAAAGAAGATTGAAAGAGTAGATAAAAAAGAAAGTGTAGCAGAAGAATAGAAAATAAAATAAAAAAGAGCAGAAAAGATAAAAGAAAAGAAAAAGTAAAGAAGGTTAAAAGAAGAGAGAAAGAAAGAAAGAAGTGATAAAAATGAAGGTAAAGCAGTAATAGAAAAAGAAAAGTAGAGGAAGAGGAAAAGAAAATGATGAAGGATGAAATAGTTTATTGCTAAATTGAAGATAAAAATGAGGGTGAAGAAGAAAATAAAGATGGAAAAATAATGGCTTGAAACACTAGAATAACAACCAGAAATCTTGTCAAGAATATTTTGAAAAATAGTTGAAAAAAAAAGTGTAACTGTGGAAGTCAAGAGAGCTGCATTGAAAGGGAATATAAAACAAAGATAAGATTACTCGATAGAAAATGGTAGACACAAAATGGTAGACGAAAACTGATAAAATTAGCATAGAAGAGTAAGTGTAACTATGTATACACGGTTGAAGACTTGATGGATGGAAAGATAGCGAGATAGATTAAAAATGTTGATAATGTTACGGAACAGGGGCTAGATGCCATGCTGGGTTGGGTTTTTCAGCTGCTGCGAATGGTACATTGGCAAAATGGTAACATATTAAAATGGTCATAAAGGAGGGTCGTTGGAGCAGAGGATCGGAGCAGGTGGGGAAATGAGGGGAAATAAATTAGTAAAAGTTTCCATAAAAATTCCTGGAGAGTGAAGACGTTACGACAATTTCGACAATGATTATTGCAATATCAAGAAAACAAAATAACTAGCAAGCTGACATAGATAGAAAGGTACACATGGACAGACTAATAGATAGATGGAAAGACAGACAAACAGATAGATAGATAGATAGATAGATAGATAGATAGATAGATAGATAGAACAGAAATAAGTACTAGAGAGACTGAAGAACAGTATAAAGTGAGTGTGTGTGTGTGTGCGTGTGTGTGTGTGTGTGAGAGAGAGAGAGAGAGAGATGGAGAGACAGGGAGATAGAGTATCAGAGAGGAAGAGGAAGAGGTGAAAAACAAAGTAGAAAAAAACATAATCTGGAAAGTAAAGATAAAAGATTTAGGTGATCAACAATGTGAACGAGAACCCGAAAAGAAAAGAGAGAAAGAGAGAGAGAGAGAGAGAGAGAGAGAGAGAGAGAGAGAGAGAGAGAGTAGGAAGAGGGAGACTTGGAAGACAATTTCTAAAGATAAATGAAGGGGAAAGAGGAGAGTGAGTAAGAGAAAACTGAAAAAGAGGAAAACAAGAAGGATAAGCAAGAAGAAGAGAAAGAAAGAAGTAAGAAAAAGATAGATGTGAAAGGTCATAGACAAAGAAGGACAGAGAAAATAATTGGATAGATAGATAGATAGATGGAAAGAGGGAGAGGAAAGAGTGTGTGAAGTGAATGGAAGTAGTGAAAGAAATGAAGCAGAAAAGAAAGACGAAAAGTGGAGATTGTAGGAAAGGAATGGAGGAGGAGTATGAGAGATGGAGAGAGAGAGAGAGAGAGACAGAGACAGAGAAATACATCTATCTCTCTCTCTCTCTCTCTCTCTATATATATATATATATATATATATATATATATATATATATATAGAGAGAGAGAGAGAGAGAGAGATAAATATTAAAACATCGGCGCTTCTCAAAAGATTTTAATTTTGCATTTTCAATTAGCCATTAACAAAACTAAGTTTGAAAGTTCAACTCTTGGTGTCATCTGTGAGAAATTGAACATTTGTGAAAGGAATTAAATAATAAAAAGTATATATATATATATATATATATATATATATATATATATATATATTCTGCTGGTGGTGAGGTTTTGGAAGAAAAATGTCACACTTGTGTTAAACAGAAAAAAATCGCATATTTTTTCCCTAAAAAGTGACATTTTTCTTCCAAAACCTCACCAGCAGAATCGTTGGCGAAATGATAGACACACTGAAAGCAAACGAGGAACTGCAATTAAAATACAATTTAATATAAAAAAGGAGTGAAAAATAATAGAAGAGAAGGAAAATGGTAAAAAAAACAGAATAAAAATAGTTCCAGTGAGTATAAAAATGCCGTTTTGTCTGTTTAAAACTATTTACAAGTTCTGTAGTATCATATATATATATATATATATATATATATATATATATATATATATATATATATATGTGTGTGTGTGTGTATTAAAAATTTCGCCTCTCGCAGACTTTCGTCAGACTATTTTTTAATACAAAAGACAAAACAAAAGCCAAAAACAAAGCAAAACAAATAAAATCAAAATGTTGCTGAAGATATAGGAACCACTGCCACTGCAAAGTGGTATATTTAAAAACAATTGTGATAAAAGTAAAAGATAAAGAAAGGTGAATGAGATTTATGCATCTGAATATACAAGCCAGAAAAATGTAAACATTTAAATTTAAAGCTAAGTGCCCTTGTATAAAACTGATCCCGTCTATAAACCAATTATTAGTCTAAAGAGGGCTCTTCACACACACACACACACACATGATAGGGTAACAAATTTTGAAACGTTTATCAGTCTAACAGGTTTTACTTTTATTAAAGTTTCATCAGAAAATGAGATATTGTGAAGAAAGAAGAAAGAACGTCTAGTATTTTTATTTTGTGTTGTTTTATTGTCATTGGTTAATCAGGCTTCATGTGTAACGTTAGTATAATTTATGGCGGTCCGAACTCACATAGTAACGACGCGTCCTTTCGAATCACCTCAAAGCCTAACTGAAAAAACGTAAATATTGCTTTATATATGTAAGTGTATCACAATTCTAGTTTGTCTATGTGGGATTAGAATAATAATGTATATTCGTGAGTGTGTGTGTCTAGTAGACATTTATGCTTGGTGGCTGTCCGCATGTTGATTTAGTGACTTTTTTTAAAAAATAAACACCGTTTGTGGTAGATAAACATACGTTAGATTCTTTAAGAATGAATTTAATAAAGGCTGGTGATGTAAGAGTGTTTTTGACATGTGTTTATAGTTGGTAATATATATATATATATATATATATATATATATATATATATATATATATATATATATATATATATATATATATATATAATAAAGTATATGGACAGTAATATTTTAAAAAAGTGCTCAATACATCGTATATCCCATGGTTAACCCACCAAAAAAGCAAGAAAAAAAAAACAAAAAAAAAAAAAAAAAAAAAAAAAAAAAAAAAAAAAAACAAAGAAATATGAAACGGAGAGAAGAAATCAAAAGAGTGAAAATTTAAAAGTTAAAGAATGAGAAAAGTTTTTCATTGTTTTTTTTTTGTTGGCCTTCTTTAATAAAAGTTGTATTAATAAAAGCAATCATGAATCCGATAACTCATGAGGACAGTAGGTGCACCATTTACAGTGGAGACATTTAAAGCCAAAGAGCCTAACGGAATACATCCATATTAGGATGCTTTTGAATTCAGAGTATATTTTATCTTCGTAGACTGTTTACCAGTCAAAGTTAGAGAACTCAATCTGACCAAATATTTAATTAATGGCTTGATGTAGGGAAGAAGAGATAGATTCATGCTTTTCCTTAAGGGTATGAAGTCGAACGCAACAAAGTAGCTCGCTATTTGAACTCGCCGACTGCACTTTACACTAGTCATACTTCCATCGTACATAACATAGATAAATGCAAATACTCTCGCATATATACACAACCAAACGTTTAGATAAAAAAAAAGGCATTATTACAAACAGTATAAAATAAAGAACAAAAACAATTTCAAGAAACAACGAAAAGGAAGACCATAAAGTAATAAATATCAGGAGTGACCATTTTCTTGTCAGCTTTAAAATATCTGAAAAAGTGCAAAACATATTATCTTGGTGGAGCATCAAAAGATAATATGTAATGAGCGCATAAGTCTTGTGGATTTCCAATTACATTTAATCTTTTTTCTACTCTTTTACTTTTTTTTAAATTCATTCTTTTATTTTCATTTTTTCCCTGACTTTCTATACGATTTTCCGCCGGCAATGAATTTGCTAAATATATGAGTTAATTATCGCAGTTCTTCTCCTTGCTGTCGACGCCTCAGCCTTTCCTATCAATCCGGATGCGATAGATCCGGAAGTTTGAATTACCAACAAGATAAAACTATTTCTAGAAATGATAGCTGTGTGGTTAAAGCAGCACTTTTGTTACTTAAAAGTTTACTGTTCAGTCGCACATGTAAGATGAATGATTTTTGTTACTTACATACATTAATTATAAAAACGACAACGTCAAGAATGCTATAATAATAATAATAATAATAATAATAACAACAACTTGCCAATTATAAGAAGGCCAAGACTGATAAAAAAAAAACAACTTTATAAAGGTCAAGATAAGATAAAACATAGAAAAATTGAAAATGCAGACTGTGTGAAAATAAAAAGATGAACTACAAAATCAGAGAATGTAGAAAGTTGGCCCAGAAAGAAGAGAAGTATAGACATGACTAAGGGGTGGAAGGTGGCTAAATGGGAACTGTACAAGCAACTACGAGAAGATCTAGAAAAGTTTTCGGTTCGACTTCTTTCCCAAAATCTAACCAAATAATAAAATATAAGAAGTTTTTAATCCTTTCGAGAGATTTTCAGCACCCCTTCTACATTTTGACCATACAGACCAACAGCATATGTACAAACCAGAATCACTCCTAGAGAATAAAATGTAACATTCTTTGGAAACAAGAAAAGGACATGACAAATAGTGAATTTTTTTAAATCACACAGTAGAACCGAACGCTTGATAAATATCTCGTACCTTGTCTAGGAGCCGAGAAAATTGTGTAACATGAAAATGATGCTCTGGGACATGTTCCGAAGAGCCTAGGAAGAAGACTGGAGGATCTAAAAATTAGGGATGGAGTTACAATCACCTTGACGACGACGTTATTGAAAATAGATAGAATACTAAGAAAAATTGCTGTTAATCAATCTTCAGTGTAAGCTAACATTTATTATTCGTGTAAACAATCAATGAGTGAAAATAATAATGATGAGTTCAGAAGTCGTAAAGAAAAAATATAGACATGGCTGGGTAGGAGCAGTGATACATTGGAAAGTGTGCAAACGACTGGGATTTGACCACATAAATCAATGGTATATATTCAAACTAGAAAATGTCCTAAAAATAAAAGGTAAAATCCCTTGGGATTTTAAACAAGAATTGAACATTCCATATACCGAATTTTGCTGTTGCGCCTGACCACAGTATAAATCGATACGAAAATAAAACGGCTGATAAGTATGGTGGTCTTGTCAGAGAGTAGTTGTGAACTATGAGATTGACCGTCGTTCAGTTATCCGATAAAACGACAGGAAGAGCAAGATGCAGGAGCTGGAACCATCCGGACAAAGACATTATTGAAAACAGTTCGAATACTGAGAAGAAAGATGACATAATGAAGATATTTATTGTAACGAAATCTCCCGTGTAGGCCAGCAGTTACTACCGATGGAAATCATCAATAGGTAAATAACATCTTTAACAATAAAAATGGTACCCCTACCATCGCAATTAACACTAAACTATGAACCATTTTCGAGTAACGTTTTCCAAAAAGCTGTTTGAACTTTAAAAACTTGCTTTTGTGTTTCATTAACGAGTTCAAGTAAAAAGACAATTTGTTATTTTAAAAGAAAAAAAAAAACACTCTCAATTCTAATTTGGGAAGAAAGGGTAAATTTACAGAACATGAGGGCTAACGCATTTTGCTAGCTCGAATAATAAAGGACATCTTTTCAGACAGTTTATAAAAAAATATTTGAATGGCTTAACTGAAATTCCATGGAATGCTGTGTATGCTGCTGAGTACGTTGACTTGTAGGTTGAGTAGAACCAGTATTGAATTGAAAGATTTAATGCAATGCTATTCTTTGTTGTGTCGTTACAAACCTTGGCAGTTGCTGGTGGTTTCATTATTAAAGCATCCGTAGGTTCCTATCGTTTTATAGGGTGTCTGTCTGAAATTCCCATATTCATGGTGCACTCTTGCTAATGTTGCTTGAGGAAAATCTTGAGAGGGTGACACAATGTAGATAAAGTGTTCAATCTTTTTTACTCCAAGAATTATTCCATAATCAACTGGTGTTAAATCTTGTTTTCATCACATTACGGCCACAGCTACACTACTTTTTACCTATTATGTCTGCCACATATCATCCAGCTGAGCCCATTTTTACAATTAGAAGAGGGCTAATCTTACATAGAATTGCTGTCTCTAATTTGTTGGCACTTCTGTGTATTTTTGTACTGATTTAAAATGAATGCCATCCTTTCAAATATAAAATGTGTTCGCCTGCAGTAATTTTAGCTAAAATCGCGAATGCATTATACTTACTGTATAATGCATATTCCTCATGATACATAAAATTAGAATTAACCACATATTTATCTCTGTCTAGATAATATAATATTGAGAAGATCAATTTCGCTCCTGTAATAGGATCCATTATTATTCGTGCTCGCATTTAGATATATCATTTATAGTTGCCGATGAAAAGCA